GCTTCATTCAGAAAGTACTTTATCCATCTACATACTTCGGGAGAATTAGGAAGTCATTTTTTTTTAAGTGATTTGTGTCTTCATTCTTAAGTATATAAAAAATAAAAGTGGTAAGACTGTAATAGATTACTGTTTTGTTAGTCTCCTAGTAGCGTAGAAAGAGGATAGAAATAGAGATCTATTTATTTTTACTTAGCTTCCCCAACACCCTGCATTTTCTAAGATGTCATTATCCTTATCTCTATTGCATGTCTCTGCTGCTTGTAATTTCCGCAAGCAACAGAATCAGCAGAACAAAATTGGTGTGTAGCTTTTTGGGTTGTTTGGGGGTTTTTTTGACAATTTCATCATTTCACAAAGTCGCTGTATTACAGCAGTGCTGTAGACAGCAACTGAGGCATTCAAGGTGATTGTAGGCTTAGGGAAACGGCGTTGCACTAGTTCACCTTGAAGGTAGGGTTCTTTACAACCACAGAAGTCATCCTTTTTTTCACGAAACACATGAATTTAAGTTTTGTATAAAAAACGGTGGCTTTGATACCCCCCCAGGTTTTCTAGAGGAAGCTTTTTGGCTATCACTGGTGAGTGACTGATTAGATTCTGCAAAAGTTGACGTCTTTGCTCCAGTTCTCTGTAGTTCTTGTCAGCTCTTTGGAGAGCTGTCAGCTTGAGATCTGGGCTGTTTGGAACATAGCTGTGAAATAGTTTCAGGTATTTAATTTGGTTTTGACTTTTCCTGGCAGTTGGTGGTTTTACACCTGCATGGGGAAGATACGAAAATCTACAACATGCGTGGTAGAAGAAAAGCGGCTTACTGCACCATACTTTACAGATAAACTGTGCTGACATACAGTTCTGTCAAAAGCAGAGTGTCAACTGGAAAAAGTGCATCTATTTTTCTCTTGGTTAATGATATGTTACTTATAACAATAGCAGCTGAATGAGTTTTACTTGAAAATTTGTTTTGTGTTCTTTAATATAAAGAATGTTGCATTGTATTTGCCAGACTTGCTTCTTCAGGAATAGCTCTACATCAAAAAGTTTTCTTTGTGATGGGGAATAACCAAAATATATATTTTTTTAACGTATTTCTAGAAGGCATTTTTATCACCTGTCAGCTAATTGAATTGAGAGTATTTGCCACTTGTTGAGGTACAGGATTTAATTTAAAAAAAAAAATTTGATTGACCAATTATCAAAATTAATGTTGCCAAGAAGTCTATGTACTTATAGTATATGTTGATTGATCAGAAGTTGTTAAAGCATGAGTATAAGCATGGTATCTTCTCACTTTTAGCTTTTTCCTGTGTGTTTACAGTTTTTCCAGGTTACAGTGTGCTTTGTGCTCTGCTCTTATGCTTGCTTGATCATAATAAAGGACTAAATACCATAGCCATTGGCTATCATGTCACTGTGTAGGGTCTTCGTATTATATCATCTTCCCATATCAGGCTCTCTTGGTATAAGTTGTCCTAACTTTTTACTTCTGAATTCTGCAAATACGGTTACCAGAGGATTCAATCATCTGTTAGCCTCTCTTTTGAGACCAGCAGCCATCCTTTCTAATGATGAAATGCTATGTGCATCAGTCCACAGAGCAAGAAACAATAAGTGTGTGTTTGGATGTGCAATAAATGAACTTCCCGGACTAGGAGGTTGCAACTTTCCTACTGTAACCTTCAACATTACAGGCGTGTTGATTTTACTTTTTTTTTTTTTTTTAGATTTAAACACAGGCTTTGATGTTTAAGATGATTTTAAATCTGTTGGACTTTTGGACTTTATTTGTTAATTCTTGAGGTATTTTAGATTCTTTTATGGCTTCAGTATTTCCTTGTCTCTTCATAGGACCCCAACTGAATGCACAACTAGAAGGTTGGCTTTCTCAAGTACAGTCCACAAAGAGACCTGCAAGAGCCATTATTGCACCGTAAGTTTGAAATCTGTTTTTTGTATATATAATACTTGATTAGTTAAATGCCTCTTTAATTTGAGTGATTTTGAAAACTGATGAAAGCTAATTTTTAGCTGAAAGGAATGTCATGTGGTTTCTAAATAAGTTTTGGATATGGCATGAAATGGAAGAAATCTGTGCACATTTTGGTATATGATTAGTTTCCTTTTGGTGATGGACTGAAGACATAACCTTCACTTGTGATCCACTAAGATAAGAGGTGTATTAGTGGAGTGGTAGTCTAAAGATGATAGCTCTTTCAGTGCACTACTAGTATAGAACAGCTACACATATTAAACACACACACACACACACACCCCCAACAAATAAACGAAACGCCAACATCGCCTCCAAATCAGAACTTAGCAAAGCTTAAAACAAAAGTAATGAAACACTGTTCAGCTATTCAAAATGGTTTACTCTTGTTATTTTAGTTTGGTTCTGTTTGGGTTTTTTTGTCCACAGGAGAAATAGGGATCGTCTATAAACTATTTAGGTAGAATTCAATTTACTGAAGATGGTTGAGACACAGAATAAGAAAAGTATGTTGGTCATTCCAATTTATTGTGAGTTGGAAGGAAACACTAGAAAAAGCACCTTAAAAATGATGTTTTTCCTGTACTGACATAGCATTAGCATAATATTTGAAGTATTCCATAATAGTATTGAATGTGCAAAAGAAATTGTCCCAAATCTGCCTGAGTGTTTCTCGCAGGAATGTCTGGAAACAGGCCTTTCAGCTGTGGATTAGGTAACCTGGGTTCTTTTTCCAGAACCGCTGGAGGTCTTCCTGTGGTCTCACCAAATTGTTTCATTAACCATGCCTTTGTTTTCCCACCTGTAAAGTGGGATATGGCTAATAATATTTTTGTGAAAGATTGAAAAAGCCTGTAGCAGAGGGAACCTTTCAGAAGGCTCTGTAGACATTGTCATATAACATACCTTGCTGGTTCACTAAGTTTCAGTCTCCTGTTTATCCTTTTAGCATGTATGTTAGTACCTTTCTGAGCTCTTCAGAATGAGTGAGGTAAGTGACACTGAAGTAAAACCCCAGGGTAATTTTCGGGATAACTTGCTCCAGGTGATGTTTTGTGGATGTGTATACATGCATGTATGCATACATACATATGTAAATGTACACACAAGTGTAAAATCCTCCGGTGCTGTCAATGGGGAGCTCATATCTTCAAATATCCTGTATGTCCCAGGCCTTGGAGCACGTATCATTCTCAGTGTCATTGTATAAAAAGACCATCTGGAAAGCTGTAGTTGTGTTGTTTGCACATACTTGACTCAAAATAAATTATAACTATTGACCTAGGGTCACAGGCACTCCAGAGGCGATGTGGCCCAAGCACTGTGCAATGTGGGCATGGCCTTCTGCTGTGGACATGCTGCTGAGTGACCGTGAGCTGTTCTCCACCACTTGGCCTGGGACCCTGGGGAATGAACGTCCTCTGGAATTAATGCTTTTAGCACTGTAAACTGAGTCTTCTCCTGTTTTTAACAGTCTTGAAGGGAATGGGTCTTAAGATTTGAAACAAGTAGTCAGAACAATTATTAATGTTTTTGGAGCACACACAGGAACACGGGTTGAGAAAGGCTCCAGGCTGGAGTGATAGGAAATGATAAAGCGTATGTTGCGTTCTCCACAGTAAAAGCTACCGTACTGTGTTCCACTCCTTTCCTTGTGCCTATTCATTCTGTTGCTGAGGTATTCTTCTTCAATGACAGAGCATTTTTATTCTCTGTTTATCTGCTGTAATGTTGCCAGATCCCTCAATTGTCATCGTATTCAGTTACTGGAGTGTGGTGAGAAGAGCTTCTCCAGCAGCTTGCTATTCCCTTGTTCCCTGGCTGCACTCTTAGCATTATCATGAACTTCTGGTAATATGCAGTTGTGTAGTCTGCCTACTAGTATCTTTTAAAAGTAATGAAAGGTGCTTTAATCTGGAGGCTGACTTACTAACTTTCAAGTAAATGGTCATTGATAGTTCTTTAACAAATACGTCCCTCGTACATTCAGTACTGGAACAGTGCTCTCCAGCTGTTCAGGAGTTGATTTTTGGATCACTCTTACTATTTCTAGCTCATTGGGGGCGAATAAGATGTTAACATTTAATAGCAATATCAACATATTTAAGATGTTAATATTTAACATGTCAACATTTTGTACACCTTGATTTGCAGCCATGCAGGATATACCTATTGTGGATCTTGTGCAGCCCATGCTTACAAACAAGTGGATCCTAATATTACGTAAGTATAGAAGTTTTTCTTTACAAAGTGTAAGACAATGCCATTGCAATTTTCTGAATTTGAATGTTCTTTTTACATTCTTACACCTCGAAGTACTCAAATTTTAATTTTGTACTCTTTTTAGTCTTTTATGCATCCCTTCTGTTTTAACATCATAAATGTTCAAATTGTTTGGATGTTGCAAAAGAAAAAATAATGTAGTATTGTTGAAAATGAAAACATAAAGCAGTATTTTCAAAAATTACTGAGAATTATTGGTAACTAACTTTTTAGAAGGGAGGGGTTAATGGTGTTCTTTTGCAGGTAATAACATTTAATTTACTTTATTGCTTTATGTTCCACTGCTTTTATAAAAGTCCAAGCTGGGGTTTTTTTACTGGTCACAGGGTGTCTTTGTTTCTTTTTTTGTTTTGTTTTTGTTGGGAGGTTTTGTTTGGTTTTTAAGTATGTTAAAATATTTGATCATGATTCTGCATTGGTTTTTCAGTGCAGGATTATGGGCTGAATGCTACCAGGATTCTCTTCTGCTGTGGAGAAAGTGACCAGTGTGTGTATATAATATTGGAAGTCAGTGAAAGTTACTTGCTGTAATAATTTTAAATGGACTTGTGTTTCTTAACAGCACAACAGTTTAAAAACTGAAAAATTTAAAAAAAAAACCAACACACTACTGTAGTCTGTGCCTGCCTCTGAAAATATGAATCCAGTTATTCTAGGTTAAAGGAGTATAATTCTTACGTGTTCAGCTGACTGCAACTTTTTTTTAAATGACAAAAATTTAAAATATCTCCAGTATTTACTCAAAGTATGTATTTTGCAATGTTAATATAAAAATTGGCTATGTCTGTCAGTTGCTTATGAGATAACACATTGTAATGCTCTCCAAAGGCAATGGTTTTTATTCTTTCTAAACTATTGTAAACAAAGTGAAGATAACTTACAGCGTGACAGATAACAACTAGTTTTTCTAAAATTTCTAGAACAAGTTGCATTCCCCAGGTTCAGTGACATGGAGTTGATTGAACTTTCTGGATCATTTGCTATTTTACCACATGGGATGTTTAGACTTGGCCAGTCATTCATCTTTCAGCTGAAGTATTGCACATTTGGATATCTTGTTTTTGAGCTCTGTAAAAAGTTTTGGTGTTTTAGTATAGCTTGCTATAGCACTCCACATGTAAGGGGGAAAAAGAAAAAAATCTTTACATGTCTGCCACCCCTTTAGTTCAGTGCCAGAAGCAAGATGATATTATCCTAAATCTGAAAAGCTGAATTTCCTATAGGTTTTTTTCTTCTTTTCTTTAAGTCCTGTGGTAGGAGACCCTTAACATCTAATCAAGAGCCAGGAACTGAGGACTTGATGAAATAACATCACGATGACATGTGAAAGCTTGCAGTGTCGGCTAAAGCTACGAATGTGCAGGTCCAAGTCCCTGTTGTTGATGCAACAGCTAGATAAAACCAGCATTTGAGAATGACTTAGATTTGAATTTGGTGAAATCCTAAGTAAGGCTAATCAAGTAAATAAGTAAAAAGCTCTGAATAGATGATAAATCCATAATCCTCGTTTGAGAGCACATACCTGTAGTTGTTGAAGGTGGTGTGTAACTGAAGGTTGTGTTGGTCCAAGGAGAGAATCCAAGAATCTGTTCTAACGGGCTATAACACATCATTCAGCCTCCAGATGAGTCCAGTCAGACAGATTTCTAGCTGATGAGTGCCCTCTGATATATAACGTGCTTAAGAGGTTTAAGGCTACGGGAAACATTATTGAGCTGATCTCATGATCATTTCTGAGATACCGAGCAAGGCTAGGCCATAGATTTGATCTGTGGTCTTACACACAGCAGAGTAAAACTCTATTGGTAACCACCAGAAAGTATCACTTTGTACGTTTTTATTAAACTTGTTTCTCTAAACCAAGTCTCTGTACAATTGCAGTTGTCTAAATTGTGGGCTTTTGTGTTAATTGTTGTAGCCGAAAAATTTTCATTCTTGGGCCTTCCCATCACGTGCCCCTTTCCCGATGTGCACTTTCCAGTGTGGACATTTATAGAACACCTCTGTATGATCTCCGAATTGACCAAAAGAGTAAGTGCATGATAAAGCTTACATCTTGAAGATTGCTGAGGCTTGAGTATTAACTGTGGTACTGCAGTGCTGAGGACTCTTGTTGGGCACTTCATTGATTTTAAGTGGCATACAAGTATAAATCTGTTTTCACTGCAATGAAAGCTAACTTCTGAAAGATCCTGGTGGTTGCAGGCATTGCTGTATTATAACCTTAATGTCTCTCTTGCTCCTGCAAGTAAAGAATTCTCAATCTTTGCTTATCTTTTCCATTATGAGTGTGTGCCTCTTGACAAGTGATCTTTAAAAGGGATCTCAAAATTAAGAAGTGTTACATTTGAATAATAGCTCACTACACACCTGCTCCATTACTCTGAAGTATTCTGTCTGCAAAAAAAGATAGTGCTTTAGTTGGTCTGAGTTTATTTCTGATAGAGGAATAATAGAGGAACAAGGAGCTGCTTTTATTTGGATACATTATTGCATGTGACTTTTTTTAACTGGCAGAGTACCTACAGAATTGAAAAACGGTTAGTCCATGAAACACCAGTCTTTCAGACTAAGCTTAAAGGTGCGATGAAGATCAATTTGGTATTTTGACTTTCATGTGTTTTGAGGTATAGCTAAATAATGCAATACTTTTTTCAGAAGGGCTACTTAGTGCAGATGTATTGCTGTTTCACCATGACTGTGATTAAGCAAGCTAGTTCAGACTTTCCACATAGTGCCTGCAGAAATTTCCTTAGGTAACAAATGTGTCGGTTTCTGTAGAACTCCTTTATGGAGTGGAGAAGGAGGCACAGCCCTACATAAAATTCTTCATCCAGGGGAGAGTTTTCTAAATGTAGAGATGACTCTGCATACCACCAAGTGTACTCGAGAGTAGAAAAGATAACTTATAAATGTGGATTACTTAATCAGTTTTTGCTGTCTCTAGATTTCATGATTTGGTTAATAATGAATTGTATTAAATAGTAACACATGCAGCAATGGTTCAGCTGATCAGCAATTTTTATTTTTTTTTTTGAAAACACGATGGTGTAGTTTGTGAAAATAAGAATTCAGTGACTGGGCAAATGCATGCATATTTTCAAATGTGTTTTATTTGTGTTACTTAAATTTTGTATCATAACTGAAAATCTTTCTCAATATACTAACAAGGTCATTGATTTAACACACTTATTTCATAAACAGAATCAATTATGTTTGTATCTTAATGACTTGAACATAATTTTAATCCTGAATTTATTTAAAAAACAAATGGTTTCTGATGACAGCCCCTGGAGGCAAGTGATTTGTTATTGTGGGCTTGTTCTGATAAAGATGCACTATAGCTTGCTTTACAGTGTTTAAAAAAAAAAAAAGTAGTAAAAATTAATCTTTAATTTCAGTTTATGGAGAATTGTGGAAGACTGGAATGTTTGAGCGTATGTCCCTACAGACAGATGAAGATGAACACAGTATTGAAATGCATTTGCCTTATACTGCTAAAGCCATGGAAAGGTACTAGGGCTAATTACTTCTTCTACAAGAATGAGCATTATGTGCATTAAATGTTTGAAGCATATGTGAAGTGCAGTAGGAAGTAATAATACCCTTTATGGTATATAATACTCTATATGGTGTATAATACCCACACTCCCCCACCCCCCAGTAAAAATTTTGGGAAGGAGAGGGTCAGAGACTAGGATTAGTTGCTGTAATAGAAACTGTGAGCGGAGCAAACACCTGAATGATGAAATTGGAACACCGCTTATAAACAAGTTTATATTGACTTAATAGAGTTAATATTAGACATGCTTTCATGAAACTTTCTCAAGAGCTGATTTTTTTTTTTTCATTTTTGCAAGGCATCTCTGAAAGAAGTTCAAATACTAATAGGTGTTTTCTGTGGGATTTTAAGTTTGTTTGGAGCCTTAATACTAGTTTTGAAATCGGGGTTCTGTTTACACCTGCTATTTCAGATGAATACTTTTAATAATTTTTCTTTAAAGGTGATAATTTTTGTCAATTTGTGGTGGTTCCCCCCCATCTTTTTTTTCAACTTTTCTTCCATAGTAATTGTAATCTTCCCTGGAGTATCAGTATACAGCTGGGTGGTGTCTTGAGCATTTTCATATACGTTGGAAAATTACCCAACATTTGTGCAGCATCTATACAGGGAGAATTTCATTCTTACTTTATTGCTGGTTTCATTGTGTCTTTTCTTTTTGTTTGCCTGGTGTTTTTACTTTGCAGCAAAGATAAATACTGTTTCGGGGGGGGGGAGGGGGGATGTGTTTGCTGAAATTGAAGTAATTTCAGGTTCTAAAACAACTTCCTAGTATGACCTTACCAAATTAACTGTATCTTCAATTCAATAGTGCCCTTTTAAAATATTCTGCAATTTCAGTTAGCAAGTCCTGAAAAAACTTCAGATGTTACTTGAATTATAACCTCTTTTCTTTTGCTTATAAGCCATAAGGATGAGTTTACTATTATTCCTGTGTTGGTCGGAGCACTGAGTGAGTCAAAAGAGCAGGAATTTGGAAAACTCTTCAGTAAATACCTAGCTGATCCTAGTAACCTCTTTGTGGTTTCTTCTGACTTTTGCCATTGGGGTAAGTTTCACATCTCTTCATTATAACAGCATGATGAATATTTTGTGGTGATTTTCAAATACTGTATTCAATATTACACACTGAACATTTTAACTTCTGGTAAATGTATCTTTGAAACTTAAATGCCTTTGTAAAGCTAAAAAAGGATTTCTCTTTTTTTTTAATCTGGAACAATAGATGAAAAATATTAATGTGGTAATGTGTTTTCAGTGTAGTGGAGGAAATAAATGGTGAAGGTGTATGGGTTTATATGCATGTCTTTACTGTTGCAGTGAAAAAAGTGTCTGAAGTTTCCTGCTCTTTTTACTCTTCTTTTAAGCACCTCAAAGCAACTTGCAAAACTAATTAGCTAAAAATTCACTGGACATGGCAACATCCCTCTAACAGAAATAAGTTTTGTATGTTTTACTGCTGGGTAAGATAGCAGATGGAGTATTTATGCCAATTCACCAGAGCTATCCCAGTTCATCTTGGTGGCAGAGCTATAAAGACTCCAGAAGCCTTGACTTCTGTCCTGCTTTAACACTTTATTTTTCTTCTAAGTGTGATAATAGCTGGAAAAGGGACTGCTTCAGAAAGATACGTTTTATGTTACACAACAGACCTCCTTCCCTCTTTTCATTGTCATCTTTGGTCAACTTACATAATTAAGTGCATATTTTACTCGTCTTTGAATTGTGGAATAGGTGGAGGTATATAAGAATGACCTGGGTTCTGTTGTGGCTAATGAACCATCTAGAACTGTTCATTGAATTATCATGAACATTTTCTTTTAACCTTCATTTACTGTGGGTATTGTTGTGCAAGCAGAAGTGGCCTGACTCCAGGGTTGACTTTGTCAAGAGGGATAGCGAAATGAAATGTTGCTTTACTTTTGAATTTATAGAATTGGATTCCAAGGCAATAACAGGCAATTAATAACTGATGCTGCAGTGTCAGTTCTACGTAGTAGGTTTTTCTTTCGGAATATAGCTGCCCGTCATGTATTTTTTACTTCGCTTCTGGGCTGCTGCTTTGATGATTGCCCTAGAATTTCCTCAGTGGACCTAAAAAGTATAAAATAAATGAAGATTACTACTTTACAAATATTATAATTTCAATTATTTAGTAAGTACTAGGGAGTGTTTTAGCTACAATTTTTCCCTTTTTTATTTTATACATGATTTTTGTTTCAAGGTCAGAGGTTCCGTTACAGTTACTATGATGAATCCCAAGGAGAAATTTATAGATCCATTGAGCACCTAGATAAAATGGTAAGTTTTCAGATTTGGTGGAACTAACTAACAAATTTCTCCTGTACATTACATTTCTTTGAACACTTTAGAAATTTCTCTAACAAAATATTATAGATTAGCTATTTTATTGAATGTTTACTTTTCCTTAGCTGTTGTTTTTAGCTAGTATCCTCCATTCTACTGACTGCGCACATTATATTGCGGGTATAATCTAGTAAGCATAATTTATGAGAATAAATGCATGTTCGCCTACCTAAAATGCCCTAGTGTAATGTAATTCCTGTCCACATACCCTCATGTTTTTGAGAAGCAATAAGAATCGTGAATCGAGTATTGTGGTAGTTCAGGCTTGATAGCTATGATACCTGCATATCGAAACAGCATTGTGATTATGCTAATGGTTTCAGCAACATCCATTTTGAGGAGGAAAGGCTGTAGGGTATTGTGCTGGTCAGGAAAACGAAAGTCACTGTTTCCTTGGGAGTAGTCTTCCCCCACCCCTTACTCTGTAGTAGGTGGTGGGGGAAAAGCAGTAGACCATACTTCTTTCTGGGTTTGGCAAATGGCTGAAAGGAATGCTAAACACATAAAGATCATAGTGCCAATTATGTTGCATTTTCTTTGCAGTCACAGGAGCCAAGGATTTCTTTTTAAATGAAAAAATTGTGTTAACGTTCAAGACTGTACTTAAGGCACAGAATAGAAGTAATTCTTCTGGAAATACATAACCTTAAAATTTGTTTTAAAACCATTTGGATCATTTATGTAACTTCTATAAAATCTGTTAGAAGAGAGGACTGTTGTTATTCAGGGCATGTTAATTTTTTCCGTGTCTTGAAGGAATAAATCCTATCTGCTGGAGAGATCTCTGGAGTTTTTGGCTTTGTGTATCCATATTAACCTCTTTGTTTTTCCACTGTTCATTGCTGGAATGGAAACAGTAAATAATTTGCCTTCATTCTATTTATCCCATTTTTAATAATTCTTGTTGTCAGTTGAGAGGTTTCTCTATAAAGACAAGTGTTTTTCTACAGAGTCCCGGAATTTGCAGCTCTGAGTGTTTTTGCAGGAGAGCAGATTAAGGTGCATTAGCAAACATTAGTTTCCCCTTGTTAATTTCTGTGGTGAAAGCTTGTAGAAAGTCTGGACTTTGGCATTTAATTACTTTCAGTGAAGACATTGCTGCACCAACTCTTTCTTTTGGTAGTTATTCAGCCAAAAGGAAATGATGTTTTTTGTAACATTGAAAGTGATGTCTAGTGTCTAATAACTGTGAAAATACTTTTTCAATCTTAAGTTTTACTGGAAAACTAAACATGCTGTGTAGCAGTATTCTGTGGTTATTTTTTGCCTGTTTATGTCATGCCATATATGAACACATGACTCCGTATTTAAACTCTGTACAGAGTAGGTTTTGCTTTCAGTGAATTTCAGAAATTTCTTTTTGGCAGTATCGTGGGTACACTTGGGACACTATCCACAATGCCACAAAGGTCTCCCTCTCATGTTTTTCCAGCTTTCGGAAGGAGTTTATTAAATTTTTATGCCCCACTCAGCTACTTCTTGTTTCCTTATCTAAGTATTGAATTTTTTAATGTCATTTGGCACGCTAAAGAAACTTGTATTGCTGTAACCACTAGGCCTCTCCACAGAGAAAATAGCTTTAAGATAGATGCAAAACTGTATTAAAACCATCAGAGGTTTTAACCTCTGCTATTGCTGGCCCAATAATTTTATTGGACCTAACTAGTGAAGGAGTCGGCTGAGTGCTTTGTAAGCAGGAAGATATTCTGGGTTGAGATGAAATTACTTTTCCTTAGAAATGCCCTTGTGGGAGGACAATGGTCTCTTCCTTATTTAGGCTGGCCCTTAAGTATAGATGCATGATGATTTTCCTGGCTAGTGCATAAACAGCACTGAACGCTTTGGGCATTGAAGATTTACTAACCTGGTAACTGCTGTGGGAAATTTTATTTGCTGTGATTTTAAGTTAGAGCCCTTAGACTCCAGCATAAAAAAATAGAGAGTAGTAAATATTGCTGGGCAGACATCGGTTTCTCCATGGTAACTCTAAATGTGACCACTCTGTTACCCTGGGGGTACCACAGTGCACCTTGTGAAGTGATGGTGAAAGGAGTAAACAGCCCCACGGTTAATAAGGGTACCTTTGGGAAGAATCCTCAAATGAAGAGTTATAATTGAGCAGCTGAAGTGCAATAATTTGTTTGTATATCATCACCTGATACCTACCATCTTTTTAAATAAAAGTGGGGGAGTATTCTGCAAGACGTTGTTGAAGAGTAATTATTTTTTGATTATGGCTAGCCAGAAAACGCAGACTGCTCACTTCAATCTTCACTGCCAGATTGCTCATTTTATATCTATTTGTGAAACCTTTATGCCTCACTTGAGTGAATAGGAGGATTCTGTTACCCTGAATGCTGAAGGGGGAGGGTAATGCAGGCACTGAGGAGGGCTGTGTGGGAACAGCCAGCAGTTGTTGTGCAGGAGCCGTGCACAGCACGGGTGGCTTCTCGGGTGGCTCTAATGAACTGCTGAAGTCTGGTGGCTTCTGTGGAGCTGCTACGGTGTGCCAGCACCTTCCACAGTGCTCCAGCCTGGGAAGGCTTCTTAGCTTGGGTATAATGCAAGACCATGACTCTCTGCCTGGGCGCCCAGCTCCCTGCTCTCTCTGCTGTGCCCAGCCAGTTATTTTCCTGTTGGTTGTTTATCTTCTAGTCTGAGTGACTCACACATACAAAGATAGTTGGGACTGGCTAGTGCTCAGACCAAGTTTGTTTCTACTTCAGTAAGTGTGCTACTAGTTTATATTTTTTTAAGCGTGAAGAAGAAGCTGAAGTAACTGATCACAAACTTAAACTTGACCAGCCAAAGGATTATTGGAGTGTAGTATAAAATAAGCCTGTGGGTTGGTTGGTTTGGGTTTTTTTTGTAAGCGTGTAGATACTTGGTCCTATGGGGGATGATATTTAAGAATGTAATTGCTTTTAATCATATTAAGTGCACTGTGCTAGGATACTATAGATGCCATTTACAGTGTCTGGTTAACTGAGATATGCAATTTCTACATGGTGCCATAATAACCATGTGATAAACTGCAGAACTGTGTGATGGTTTGTATTTTTATCATGTGGGTTTTGTCGTGTATTTTAACTCTGTTCTAAACCATGCCTGACTGAGTTATTTGGAATACTGAAAATGATTAGCTTCGTACTTCTGCTTTTTAGAAAAATAAAACACAACCTGACAAAAATGTTTCCTTTGTTCCTCAACACCATTTTAGACTGAGAAACAAGCTTGGTAGTCTTTGCTCCTCTGCCACAACAATTTTTAAATCCAAAAGATTGAAAAGTTTAGTACAGCTGAATGCTTATAGGATATGCATTAATACCCATTTCCTATGGATTTTCTCCAATCTGTGATGTATGTAGCTCTGTTAGCATTTGCTGGGATGAACTGCATAGCTCGAAACGTTTTGCGGTGCTGAACTGTGCATTGAAATAAGCTTACTAGGCATTCTGATAAATCCATGTCTGTTCATTTGAGACAAATGGTCAAATGCCTCTGCCCAGTATGTTCCAGTGACTTACAGCTATAAAATGAGTCTTTCAATTGAGCAGCCATTTTCATTTTAAAAAAAGTCATGAAAGGGTTTACAAATGGATAAAATATATTCTTATGAGCTGTTCAGTATCTGAATAAGTGCCTTATGCATGTTTAGTTTCACTTGAGTATATAGTTAAGTTTGGTTCTGCTTTCTTTAGCTGTGTATTGACATGTACAATTTACAAGTAAATGAGTGGTTCAAAGACATGCTGCTTAAACTTTAGAAATGCAATGATATCTATGTAATCACTGCTAGTTAGAGAATAGCTACCTTTATTTTTTTGGCACTCATTTAGGTTCTGTAGATCTGGAGTGAGTAACAGCTGTAATTACCGGCCAGGGGTCCAAACACCTTCTCCATGACCCTGGAAGAACTGAGCTCTTGCCAGCAATTGGTCAGCATAGTTTGGTTTTATTTTTCCGTAAAATTTCTCTCTCTATGAATTCATCTTATGTCTGTTTTTAATTAAAAGTACACAAAGGTTGTGGTTATCGTTGCTGTTTTCTAATCCTCCCTGACTCTCGTGGGAATCTCCAGCTCCTCCATTGTAAGCTGTGATCCAGTCTGAGTAATTAGCGTATCTGCCAGATCAGCCAACGCCCTTGCAGAGTATTCAGGAGGTTTCATTCTTAAGGTGGAGACTTCAGACAGACTGACTGCTTCTTGCGTCGTGGTTTCTCCTTTTATCACTCACACTGTCCCAAAAGCAGGGGAAGGGGTTAGGACAATTGCAGAAACCTCAGGAGAAATTCTCTCCCTTTCTGATATCAACCTCCCATTGTTCCCATGCAAGGTGTATGTTTTTCTTCCAGTGTCTAAGGAAAACCTTCCTGTTTCATCAGCTACATGTAAGAAGCACAGCTATGTGTCTTACTGAATTAGTGAGCGTCTGGAGCTCATTTACCTGGTGAAGGAAATTAATCATTTTCAGAGGAAGGAAAAACACAAGAGGATGGAGTCTAATACAGGCAAAATAGCAAAGCCATGATAAAAGCCAGACAATAGTTGATTTAGACTTGCTTTAAACTACTCTTATTGTATTTGATCTTCTCTGTGGGATGGGGTAAGAGTAGGCTGTATGTGGAGTTGTAGGATTCTTTTTGCTTTTAAGAATGCAGATGTTTGTATATGTGGAAGGTTTTGTTTTTCATACATGTTCTGGTTTTCATAGTATGACTCCATGGGATCATGGGTCTCACTGTGGATGGAGAAAAGGATGTATATATGTGACTGCCTCATGTAAAGTGGAAGCATCATCTCCTGGCTCTTACGTTTCTGTCCTGCACCAACTTTCTAGTGCTTTAGAGATGTTCTGGATCTGCTTTTTATGCTCTGAGCAGATGGTCAGCCTGTGCCCAGATCAGCTGCCTTGCATGCCTGATGTGTCTAGGATACATTATGCTTGCTACGTGCTTGAATTGCATGTGTGTATATTGATGATTTGTCTAGGGTTTTTGGACATCCAGAAGTCCCAGGCAAGTGCTCAGCCCTGAGCTCTGTTACCAGGGAGAAGAGATGGAGGCAAAACTTCTTCCTGCTTTGCCCTTTTAGTAAATTTGTCTGGTTATTGCTGTACAAAACCCTATGGAAGTAGGGCACCCTTGGAGGTGGGGATCAGCTAGTCTGCGGGAGGAGCTTTTTTAATATGAGCTTTACTGGTATCTGCAAAGATAGCTTCACAGATCTGTGGATCATTGACAGCTTTGGAAGAGCTCCTGCACTTTTAGTTTGGCAAGGGATGGCAACAACATGACTACAAGCTAGAGCTCACATGCTGAGATTCCCTTGATACCCTTGATACAAAGTAGAGGTTTTTTCCTCCTGAAGTATTCTGTGTTACGATAAATAGGTGATGTATAAACATCTGCTTATGAATGTGTGAAGTAATCATTGCTATCGATTCTTTTTCAGGGTATGAGCATTATAGAGCAGCTAGATCCTGTATCTTTTAGCAATTACTTGAAGAAATACCATAATACAATATGTGGAAGACATCCTATTGGCGTGTTATTAAACGTAAGTAACTTTTGATTTGTTGAAAAATGTAACTTTTAGCAAAATGCTTACATTTGTTTTAAATAGAATATTGCTGGAGTATTGCTTAGTTCTAAAATGGCGAGTCTTGAATTAATTTATTTTTCCAAGTGTTCTCAACTTGGTCTCCAATTTCCGTGTCTTGCATATAGACAAATGTAAGCTCTTACAAGGGCTGAGGGTTTTCAGTTACCTAAGGGAGATGAGGTACCATGTTCCTTTTGAATTGCAATGAAATACAGTCATTCACTTTCTCTTGGCCCTAAATAAACAAACAAATAAATCCATCTCCCTGAAGAAGTACATACTTACTCTTTTGAGTCAGTTCTTACAAACATGTATGTATTTTTTCTGTATTGCTGTTAGCTAGCTATTGTGAGTGCCTTGTGATGTCTGGCAGCGTGTTTGATTTTTGCAAATATGGTGAGAGATTGCTTCTGTAAGTATTAGTGCAGTGCCCCATTAACTCATAAATTAATGGCAATTAGAATTCAGATTAACTGATACTTTCTAGTTAGTGTATTCTGCTTTGATAATGCAGTACAGACATAAACCTGGCTTAACTTAGTTGTCTAAATTGGGTCACAGCTGCTTTACAGCACTGCTGGAGTGCTGCAGACTTCTCATATTGCTTTTGAGTGAATCTCACTGTATTTTTACTGTAATTCAAATCTGAAACAGGAAGCATGTTAACCTTTTTAAAAGGGAAAACTTAATTCACTGGAAATGTAGTCTATATGGAGAACATATAGAGGAACCTTTTAAACTGGAGTCTATAAAAGTTTGTATGAGCAATATCAATGTTGGGGATGCGTGTAGCAAAATTCAGTACTATGACAACTCTGCAAAAACATCCAACTCTTAACCTCAGATAATGATTAGTTTTGCAGTGAATCTGAGCTAAATTCTGTTCATTCACTTCTGCCAATTGTCACGCTTCAGTAAATTATCTTGGTACATTCTTTTTCCTTAATGGAAGAAATATGATCTAAGAAGTGTTAATAATGTTGGGGTTTTTTTCCTGTTACATCTGTGTTTCTGTGTAAATTCCCTATGGAGCTGAAAGCATTGTTTCTAAAGGATCTGTTTGGAAAGGTTGTTTAGTATTGCTTTATAGAACTGCATGGAGGTACATAGTGCAGTGGGGGGAGTGTCAGTGAATGAAACGGCACAGAAATGTGTTAGGTCCACAAATTACTCGGAGGTGCTTATATTATTATGAGAGATGGTGCAAGGACCCCCGGGTGAGGGGAGAGGACTGAGATCTAGAAAATGTCATCATTTCACCGATACATTTTTTTAAACAGCTTTTTTTCTCTCTTCAGGCTATCAACGAGCTCCAGAAGAATGGAATGAATATGAGCTTTTCATTTTTGAATTATGCTCAGTCAAGCCAGTGTCGAAACTGGCAAGACAGTTCTGTGAGTTATGCAGCTGGAGCA